AAAGCTGGACAGTGAATAAGGAAGACCGTAGAAGAATTGATACTTTTGAATTATGGTACTGGAGGAGAATATTGAAAATGCCATGGGCTTCCAAAAGAGCCAACAGATCTGTGTTGGGAGAAAGTGCAGCCAGAGAACTCCTTGAAGGCCAGGATGGCCAAACTTCGTCGCTTATATTTCGGACATATTGTCAGGAGGGACCAGTAGCTGGAGAAGGATATCATGTTTGCTATGGTGAAGGGTCAGACAAAAAGAGGAAGACCCCCAGAGAGATGTATTGGCAAAGTGCAGCATCAATGGGCTCAAGCATGGCAACAATTGTGAGGTTGGCCCAGGATTGGGCAGTGTTTTGTTCTGTTGTGCATAGAGTAGTTATGAGTAAGTACCGACTCGATGGCACCTAACAACAACGCTAATCGTTCCTCGGAAATCCTATACAGAGTCGCTATGAGACAGGACTGACCTCACTTAACAACAGTAATCTAACCTAGAGTGTCAAGAGCAGACTTCTGTCAGAAGAGCTTTAAAATAGAAGCTCAGGAAGGGAAGAGAATGTAAGGCAGGGGGACCTGTGTGCAAAAGCTGCGTGGCAGCCTCAGGAGCTCCAACGCAGACACGGAGGGCAAAGAATGAAGCTGGTAAGGGAGAGCCCTGTAGCGACTGCCTTAAGGTTTCCTCTGCAATAGGAAAGCCATTGCACAAGCGGTAATGACATGATCAGATTTTCATTTTGAAAATATCAGTATCTGCAGTGAGGTAAACCGGTCGGAGGGCCCCACTGCCGTTCGATGATAAAATCGGACCTGGAAAGCCTCAATAAACGCACTCAAGGCTGGAGAAGACAGACGGTTCCGAGGGCCCTTGCGTACAGCTCAGCCGAACACCGAACCCGCCCACGTGGGCTACCGCCCCGCCCCACCCCGCTGCGCAGCCGCCTTCGATTCCGCAGCTAGGGCCTGGGCTGGGCGTGTAGCTACCGACTCTGCAGTCCACAACGGTGGACGCCCAGCCTCGGGAGCCCCCAGTCCAGGGTACCGAGTTCCGTCGCGGAGCCGAAGCCAGCCGTGTCGAACGTATCTATACCCCTCTTGGCGGTGAGTCGGGACCCTGGCTGGGGGAGGGTTCAGCGGCGGGGATTGGGTGGGGGAAGGTGTTACAGTCTCAGTCCAGCTCAGTTGCTTCCTTTGGAGAGAATCGGGGAAAGAAGGTCTCTATCCTGCCTCTCCTAGGGGTGGGTAGTCTCCCTCTATTACAAGATTAGGTAGAAGTGGGTCACTGTTATTCCATCTTTACAAAGCGATTACAGATTCACTTAGGGTGGAGGCCTCATCCTGGAGTGTCAACTCTGAGAACCGTGATCCTTAGCGTCACTCCCACCCCATCTTCCGTCAGGGCCATGCTTAGGGAAAAGAGGATGTTTGAAGTGGAAAAGATCTTCAGGTACATGTCATAAGCTTTGCTTAGGAGAGGGATTTGAGGGGGAGGTGCAGGTTACAAAAGGACCAACCCTACACCATTCACCCCAGGACTTCTGCCTCAGCTGAATGTGGGTGGGTAGGAGCCCTGCCACCTATAGTGATCCTCTTAGTGCCAGTGAAACCCATGTCTCTCTCAATCTCTTACTGATCCTCAATTTCTCTAACCACAGTAACATGTTGTCAGTAGGAACCTCTTCTCAATGCAAACTCTAATTCTGATAGAAACCAATTACTGGATAGGGAAGAGTGGGGTGGCATGCCCCATTACCTGGGCCTGGGGATGGAGCAAGCCTGGGGCAGGGACACATAATAATAGACTTACTCCAGGGGTACTGGGAAGGAATGGGGCCAGTTCAAAGGAGAGCGTGTAAATATCACAGCTCCTTGAGGCAGAGAAGAGAACTGGACCCAGCTCTTCCTGCCCTGAGCAAGCTTCTTTAACCTCTTGTAACTGTTAACTATGTGCTCCTGGACATGGAAATACTACTGCAGCTCCCTCATCCCAGTTCACTCACTCAGGGGCAGGGTACTGACACCTGCTAAGTGCTAGGCTTTGTGCCGAGTCCTGGGGCTATAACCAATTGCCAGTTGCCATCTAGTTGAGTCTAATTGATGACAACTCTATGTGTGTCAGACTAGAACTGTGCTCTATAAGGTTTTCAATGGCTGATTTGGAAATTCATTGCCAGACCTTTCTTCCAAGGTACCTTTGGGTGGACTCAAACCTTTCAGATAGAAGCCAAGTGTATTAACCATTTGCACCACATGGTGATATAATGGAGAGTAAGGAGCTCTGGTAGCGTAGTGGTTACGAATGGGGCTGCGAACCTTAAAGTCAGCAGTTCAAAACTATCAGCCACTCCATGGGAGAAAGATGAGGCTTTCTGCTCCCGTAAAGATTTACAGCCTCGGAAACCCTGTACAGGGTCACTATGGGTCGGAACCAACCAACAAGCAAAAACAAAATATTGAAAAGCACCCGATTTAATTTGGAAGCTTTACAAACTGCTGTAGGATAAGCATTGGACGGTTAACTTCAAGGTTGGAAGTTCAAGCCCACCAGCTGCTCCACTGGAGTAAGATGAGGCCATCTGCTCCCATAAGGATTTATAGCCCTGGAAACCCTGTAGGGGTTCTCTGAGTCAGAATCAACTCAAGAAGTGGGTTTTGGTTATTATAAGCTACAAGGAGCCCTGGTGGCACTGTAGGACACAAGATCAGCAGTTCAAATCCACCAGGCACTCTTTGAGAGAAAGATGAGGTTTTCTGCTCTGTAAAGATTTACAGCCTCGGAAACCCTATTTGTTGTTAAGTGCCGTCAAATCAATTCTCATAGCGACCTGTACAAGGTTTCTGAGGAGCAGCTGGTGGGTTTAAACCACTAACCTTGTAGTTCATAGTCCAGTGCTTATGCTACAGTGCCACACCAGAACCCTGGAAACCTTATACAGGGTAACTGTTAGTCAAAATTGACCATAGCAGTGGATCTGGGTATTTTGGTGTTTGATTACAAAATAGTTTTGTTTTTTTAAAAAAGCTATAGAGATTTATTTACCATCAACTATGTGCCATCTCAAATGTGGCAACAATAGTGAGGTTGGCCCAGGATCAGGCAGTGTTTCGTTCTGCTGTGCATAAGGTCTCTATGAGTCAGTACTGACTCAATGGCACCTAACAATAACAACAACAATGTGCCATCAACTATGGAGTCCTGGCATGGCACTGTGGGTTAATGCACTGGTCTACAAAGTCGGTGTGAACAGCAGGGTCGGCAGCTCAAGGTCACCAGCTGCTCCTCAGAAACCCTATACAGGGTCACTATGGGTTGGAACCGACTCAATGGCACTTAACAATAACAACATGTGCCAGCACAAGGAAACAAACATGGTTAAGACAGTATGTACTCAGGGCACTGAGGATGCATAGAAAGGCATAGTTGACGGTGTGTGTTTATGTATACCAGGAGGAGTGGAGAAGAATGTCAGGAAGGCTTCAGAGAGGTTGAGGTATTAGAGCTAAGTGTTGAAGTGGAAAAGGGTGGGGTTTAGAGGGAAGAGGACAGAAAGGGTAAGCCAGGGGACCAGCCATGAGGAGAGTAATGGTATGTTCTGGATCTCTGAGCAGCTTGGTGGGGTGGGAGGGACAAAGTGGCAAGAGACAAGTTTGAAGGTTGGATCAAGCTGAGCCCTGTAGGCTCTATAGCACTTTAGTAGTTTAGTGAAGGCACACAGAGAGATAACAAATCAAATTTACATTTTTAACTACAGACAAGGAGAGCAATAAAAAGGTTGTAGCAATAATTAGGTAAAAGTGTCCTGAATCAAATGAAATGGATAAATGTACATTCATACACAGAACATTGTAAGGGGAACAGTTGACAGAATTTGGTAGCCAATTTAATATGGGTAGGAAGGAGAATGATCTTCCTAGGATGCTCCCAGGATTCTGACTGGGGTGACTGAATGGTTAGTGGTGCCTTCTTGCTGAGACCACTGGAGAGGGAGAGAGCTGGTTAGGACATACAGAGTTAGTGGAGCTTGGGGGATGGATAACAGGTGAATCTGGTGTGGGACAGATCTGGGAGTCACCAACATATGGATAGTTCTTAAGCTACAACATAGGGTGAGGTGATCTGGAGAGAGTGAATAAAATGAGACTAGAAGACCAACTGTCTCATGACTGAGGACACCAGCATTTCAGAGATGGATGGAGGAAAAGCCCTATGCAGGATACCGAGAACAACTACAGAGGGTGGGGAGAAACCACAAAGGGACATGTTACCAAAATCCAGGGGGAAAGGTTCATGCTTGCTGCTTTACCCTTACAGTTAGGTGGCAATGACTTCAGGTACCCCACCCTGTCTTCCTGTGACTCATTCTTCTGCTGCCTTCTTACAGACCAGATGTTCGCTGTCCAGCCAGGGCTAGCTGAGAGGGCCCAGTTCCTGGGGGGCCCACCTCCTGGAGTATGTCAGCCGGAACTCCAACCAGACAGCAACTCCAACTTTGTGGCGAGTACCAAGGATGCCAATGAGAATTGGCATGGGATGCCAGGCAGAGTTGAACCCTTCCAAATGGGCAGCTCCCTTGAGTTGCCTTCTAACAACCAGGCCTTCCAGGTCCCTGGACTCCACGAAGGGGAGGTTCGCAGTCCCCCAGAAGGGGCAGAGATTCCCAGGGCTGAGCCTGAAAAGATAGATGGCGTCAGCACAGTCTGCTCTCCGCTGGAAGACAACGGCTATGCTAGCAGCTCTCTGAGCATCGACAGCCCTAGCAGCAGCCCTGAGACTGCCTGTGCGACCCCTGGAGGCCTTGACCCTCCAGACCCCCTTCTACCCTCAGTGGCCCAGGCGGTGCAACAACTACAGGCGCAGGAGCACTATAAAGAACGAGAGAAGGAGAAGCACCATGTGCACTTGGTGATGTATCGTCGCTTGGCTCTACTCCAGTGGATCCGGGGCCTGCAGCACCAATTGGTTGACCAGCAAGCCCGTCTGCAGGAGAGCTTTGACACCATTCTAGACAATCGAAAGGAACTTATTCGCTGCCTCCAGCAGAGGGCAGCACCATCCCAGGACCAGGGCTAAGGGTGTGCCCCAACAGGTGTGCAAGAGTATAAAGGTGTATATTTGAAAGCTTGTCTGTGGTTGTACATGATTATTTTCTAGCAAGAATTCAGGTGAACATAAGTGTCTATGTCTGTGCTAGCATGTATAAAAACCATATTGTTACCTACAGCGAACCTACATAATTATGCAACTCATATAACACACATAGGAAACCAATGCTCAAAACTCATATAACATGCACATTGTTGTTGTTATTAAGTGCTGTCGACCTGGTTCCGACCCATAGTGACCCTGTACAGGGTTTCCTTGAAGTGGCTGGTGGGTTTCAAACTGACCTTGCCATCCAGTACATTAACCCACAGCAGCACACCAAGACACCAATGTGTGTGTTAGTTGTGTAAAAATACAAGAAGCACCTGCTTGTATATGTATACACACAAGCTAACTTATATGGAGATCTATGAGTCCTCAAAAAATTCGTGGAAAAATGAGAAAAAAAGAAAATGGAGTTTTCCCATGAACTTTTTGAAGCCCTCTTGTATTCGTGTGTGAGACTGAACATAGGTGTAAATTTGTATATACATGTGTTTGTGTATGAGTAAGTTTAAGTGTGCAGGCTTGTGTTGGATAAATGTGAGTGAGGCCGAGTGGAGGCCTATGTGTAGGGGTGAATATGCACAAGTAAGGAGCATGTACAGCTGTAGGCAAGGAGCTCTGGATGCATAGTGGTTACGAATTGGGCTGCTAGTCTCACAGTCAGCAATTCTAAACTACCAGTTGTTCCACAGGAGAAAGATGAGGTTTTTTTGCTCCTGTAAAGATTTACAGCCTTGGAAACCCTCCACGGCACATAACAATAACAGCTACAGGCAGACTTGTGAACAGTTGTCACATATATATCATATATACTCAATTACATGTGTGGGGCATGCACCCACACACTGTGTTACCCAGTGCTTCATCCCACTTTCCCTTGGAGACTGAGCAAGACTAGTCTACTATCATCTAAGGTTTGTGCCAATCCATTCTCCAAGATTTCCAAGGTCATCTCATCTTCTCCCTTCCCCTTCCCCATCCTAGACTTTGCTCTGCTAAGACTATTGTCCCTAATGGTATATTTGGTGACTGCTTTGGCCTGCCATGGCAATTTGGCTGAGATTTTGTCAGGGCAGTTGGTGGAGAACTGGTTACCAGGGAGGAGAACTGAGAGTAGTGATGTAGACCATGGTGGGGAGAGGGGATCAAAGAAGTAACTAGGGGAGTGTCCTTCTGGAGCTTTGCCTTTAGACACAAAGGAAGGGAGAGAGATGCCGAAGACAGACCCTGTGAAGAATCTCTTTTCCTTCTGTGTCTGTCTTGCTGTGCCTCTCTGGTTGTAGCAACACTGAATGCTCAATTGATTTAGTCCCCTTCCCCTGAAATCAAGACTGTCTGGGCCACGAGGAGCTACAGGTTTGCTTGCTTTGCCCAACCTCTGAAAACTCTCTGGATGCTTCCATTACAGCAGGGCTCTTTAAACAGGGATAGAGAGACTTCAGCAGAGGCTCTGAGGTAGAATGCAGTGAGTCCTGGGAATAACCAAGGACTGAATTAGGCAAGTTCTGTTTTACTTCTAAGATCCCAGAGGATGCAAGACACTGATAGATGATCGGATGTGAACCTAAAGAACTAATGGTGGATGAAGAATGGCATGGAAGACACTGATGTTGCCTCTGGCCCCCTGTTTCCTTGTCTGAAAAATGGGGGACTCTTCCTGCCTATCTCTAAGGATTTCCATAATTGTCAGGTGGGTGAAAGGTATAGGAGTGAGGGAGAAGCATGGGCCCTGGAAAGTTTGTGTCTTAAGCTTTTGTATGTTAAATGTGAACCTGGACAAATAAACTGAGGCAGAGAAATTAATTTCTTGAATATGTGTTTCTTATTCTAACTTGTCTAGTGGCCTCTTACCCTTCTTACTGTCTGAGCTCCCCTTTTGAGCAAAGCCCTGGGGTGGGAGCTGGAGGGTGGGCGTTGTTGATGGAATGTTGTGGATTGAATTGTGTACCCCTAAAATATGGGTTGTAAAACCTAACCTCCATGCCTGCCTTCAAACTCTTATTTGGGAATGGGTTCTCTTTGGTATGTTAACAAGGCAGGATTAGTATAGGGTGTGTTTTGAGTGGATCTCTCACAGGATATAAAAAGAGAAGACTAAGATAAGCAAGGGGTGGGGAGAGATGCCAAGCCAAATGAACATCATCCAGGAGTAGGAGCCCACAGAGAGAAAGCCTAGACCTGGCACCCTGGATTCAAACTTTTAGCTTTCTAAACTCACAGAACACAAATTTGTTTGTTAAAGCCACCCATTTGTGATATTTCCATTGTAGTTGTTGTTAGGTGCCATCAAGTTAGTTCTAATTTATAGTAACCTTGTGTGGGGTTTCCAAGGGGCAGCTGGTAGGTTTGAACTGTGGACCTTGAGGTTCACAGTCCAGGGCCTATCCTACAGTGCCATATCAGGAGTCCTCCATTATAGTAGTGCTAGGTAACTAAGACCTGGAGACGTTACCAGTTGCCATCAAGTTGACTGCAACTCATGGTGAGCCTTATGTCAGAATGGAACTGTGCACCATAGGGTTTTCAATGGCTGATATTTTGAGAAGTAGATTTTCAAGTCTTTCTTCTGAGGTGCCTTTGGGTGGACTCAAATTTCCACCTTTAAATTAGCAGCGAAGTATGTTAACCACTTGCACTACCCAGGAACTCCCAAGAAGATACTGGGGAGGAAGAATATGGACTCTTAAGTCTTGTCTCCCTTTCTGACAGGGTAGAATTGGCCCAGAGAGCGTCATTTGAAATGGAGAGAACTGGTAGGTACTTTGGAAGAGTCCCTGACCAATCAGGGAGTGTCCCAGTCCTAAGGTAACTTTGATTTGGAGATGGGATGGCACACCCACACTCAACCTTACCCTGGAGTCACCACTTCCCTGAAGGATGCCCTGACCACAAAAGACTGAGTTTGGGTCCTTAGATGAGTTAACACAGATATACTTGTCTCCAGACATTTATAAATAACAATCTAGAGTATATTTTCTATTTTACATTCATTTTTATGATTAGTTTCTCAAAGACATTATTTTTGTAAACAAGTTATACTCATATTCTCTATTGCTGCATAGTGCATTACCCTAAAACTTAGCAGCCTTAAAAAACACACATGTATTATCGGTAGACAAGGAATCTGGACTGGCTTAGCTGGGTCTTCTGTTTCATGGTTTCACAAGATTGCCATCAGAGTAAGACCAAGGTCAATGGTCTCATTTGTTGGTAGCCTTCAGTTCTTCATGGGCTATTGGCTGGAGGTCACCTTCAGTACCTTACCCTGTGGGCCTTCCTAACAGGGCAGCTTGCTTCACCAAAGCATGCAAATTATATTTGTTTCCTTTTGTCATTAGCTACCTTATGTACTGCAGAATGAAACACAGCCTGATCTTGATCCAGTCTCACAGTCACTGCTACACTTGATCTCATTGTTGCTGTCATTATGCCAATCCATCTCATTACCGGGTCATCCTATTTTCTGTTGACCCTCAATTTTACCAAGCATGATGTCTTTCTCCAGGGACTGGTCCCTGTTGATAATATGTCCGAAGTATGAGAGACAAAGTCTGGCCATCATGGCTTCTAAGGAGCATTCTAATTACACTTCTTCCTCCACAAATTTGCTTGTTCTTCTGGTAGTCTATGGTACTTTTAATATTCTTCACCAACACTATCAGTGAAATGCTTCAGATCTCCTACAGCCTTCCTTATTCATTTTCCAACTTTCACATGCATATAAGAATATAAAAAATACCATGGGGTCAGGCAAACCTTAGTCCTCAGACTGACATATTTGCACTTGAACACTTTAAAGAGGTCTTGTGCAGTAGATTTGCCTAATGCAATACATTGTTTGATTTTTTTACGGCTGCTTCCATTAGTGTTGATAGTGGATCCAAGCAAAATGAAGTCTTTGACAACTTCAATATTTTCTCCATTTATCTTGATGTCTATTATTCCACTGGTGAGGATTTTTATTTTCTTTACATTGAAGTGCAACCCATACTAAAAGCTGTGGTCTTTGATCTTCATCAGTATTTCAAGTCCTCTTCACTTTCAGCAAGCAAGGTTTAGCATCTGCATATAACAGATTGTTAGTGAATCTTCCTCCAATCCTAATGTCAAATTCTTCTGCATATAATCCAGTTGATCTGATTATTTACTTATCATACAGATTGAATAAGTATGGTCAAAGAGTACAACCCTGGTGCACACCTTTCCTGATTTTAAACCATTCAGTGTTCCCTTGTTATGTTCAAACAACTGCCTCATCATCTGTGTACAGGTTCCTTATAAGCACAATTAAGTATTCTGAAATACCCATCTTCCACAATGTTGTCCATAGCATGTTGCAATCCACACAGTAAAGCCTTTGTTTAGTCAATAAAGCACAGGTAAACATCTTTCTGGTATTCTCTGCTTTCATCCAAGATCCATCAGACATCAGTAATGATATGCCTTATTCCACATCCTATTTTCAATCTGGCTTGAACCTCTGGCAGTTCCCTGTCAGTGTATTGCTGCAACCATTTAAAAATTATTTTTAACAAAATTTTACTTTTGCTATGTGATATTAATGACATTGCCCAATGATTTCTGCATCTCACTGGGTCACTTCTCTTTAGATCACAAATATGGATCTCTTCCAATCAGTTGGCCAGTAGCTGTCTATCAAAGTTCTTGGCATAGATGAGTGAGTACCTCCAATGCTGCATCAGTTTGTTGAAAGATTCCAATTTGTATTCCATCAGTTACTGGACCCTTGTATTTTGCCAATGCCTTCAGTGCAGTTTGAACTTCTTCCTTCAATATCATTGGCTCTTGATCACATGTTACCTCTTGAAATGGCTGAACATCAACCATTTCTTTTTGGTACAGTGACTGTGTATTCCTCTCATTTTCTTTTAATGCTTTCTGCATTATTCAATATTTTGCCC